TTCAGACAACTTCCATTTAATGATATTTCAAGATTCTAATTCTTGAAAGGAATGAAAAAACCCTTGGCTACAGAAACACTTATTCAAAGGGATTTTTTATTTGCCTTCGCTAAATACCATATAATGTGCTCTTATTTCAAAAACATCAATCAAGTTTTATAGATTCGTGATAAATACAGTTGTAATTATAGCTCCCTGAAAATATTCAGCTGTCACATTTACCTTGTCAAAGTAAATAACGCTGTCATTTTAGCTGATGTGTGTGACTTGAGTAAACATTTCAAAGCATGAATTTTACAACAAAATTTCTTCACTTAAACTGGTCAAAATTAAATTTACTTCCAACTGCAATTTACTATGCTTATTATTACTCTTAATAAAAATTAACACTTAAACATATTATCTTAAAAGTGCATTATGAAGTGCAGAAATCATGAATTATAAAATGTGTATTAAAGAACATGCTCATTGACCAGACAGCAAAGTGACGTTAATACGGATATATCCCCATCATCATAGCATACAAGCATCTCACAAACAACGAATTTATCCTCATAACAACCCCGTAAGTTACGGAAATATCATTCCCATTTTAAAGATTAGGAATTGTATCACAACTATTTTTCACAACTGAAAAGTGAACAACATTTGAAACTAGTACTTAATATCTAATTAATTAGTTGCACCTAGATGCTCTATTGCTGATCATTAGGTAAAAAATTTCCTCCAAAGACAAAATGTAACAAAATTTGGGTAATATTGGAGATGGACAAATTTACCTACTGAAAGAAAAAAAAGGAGAGGTTACTTAACTTGTACAGTAACTGGGGTTCTTCGAGATGTGTCCCCCTATGGGTGCTCCACATCAGGATGCACACACGCCCGTGTGCTCTTGCTTGGAGATTTTCAACAGCAGTGTCTGCAGGTCTGCGCCTGCATGTTCTGACATGAGGGTAATATTTGGGGGGGGGAGGGGTGAGAGAGGAGAACCCACCACCACTCCAGGTCCTTCTCAATCATGAAAGTCCAATGAGAGACTGTGAGGCCCACTGGCGTACAGAAACCCATTTGGATAGACTGTGTTGGGGATGCAGACTGTTTTGAACTAGGCTTAGAGACACAGAGAATGTAGTCTTGCATTGAGTGTCACAAATGTACAGGATGCCATGTGACCCAGAAGTTGTAGGCAAGCATTTGCTGTAGTTTGTGGGCCTCTATTGTATTTTTATAACAAGGTCGGACATGGTGACAAATCCCTGGGTAAATAGGTTCTGGCAGTGAAGGAGTGCAGAGTGGCCTCGATGAAGTCTCTATATTGAATGGGTGAGAGGGTAGACTTTTACATTTTAAGCGGAGACTCAGGGCTTTCATAGTTGCTGTCTGAACCTTGAGGAACAAATGTCCTTTCAGGTGCCAATCATCCAGCTAGGGAACGACTATTCCCATCTGTAGCCATGGAGTACGTGGCCTTGTTGGTGACATCGAGCAACGGTTGAAGAGATGCTTTGGCAACTGTCTGACACCTGTAATAAGGGCCTGAAATTACACCCTCTAATCCTGAGGCAAGTGATCAATAAAAGATGTAAATTTAGAATAGTTTGTGAAGTCATACTTTGCCATAAGGGCTTGGTAATTGGCTACTCTGAACTGTAGAGAGACTCTCGGCTTGGTTCTAGTCTCTATGCTTCGAAGGCACTGAGTCCGACGCCAAAGACAGCACCACTCTGTAGGATTTCTCAGTGTGCAACTTCTTGGTCGGTCCCGCAGTTAGTACCGGAAGGAACAGGAGCATCAGCAGCATCCTTACCAGGACATTAGGTTGCCTGAGATCCAGACTGCAGGCATGACTTTCCCCTTTTCTTGTCCCATTCTGGGAAGTCTTTGCCTCTTTGAAGGTTCTGACAGTCCCATAAGGCCCCCAGAATCTTTGCTTATCAAAGAATCGAAGGCAGGAGGCCACTCCAATGTACAGGGGTTTAATTCTGTCCTCCCTCAATTTCCCAGGTCTGCTCTTAAATCCTGAGCAGATCTTACATTTGGTGGGAATGTGGCAGGTCTGAGGTCTTGGGAATAACCCATACTCAAGGCTAGGGATCAAGGTCCAAGAAGGCCCAAAGTGGGTGACAAAAAAAAGGGGGGAGGACCATGCCCCCCCAAAAGTGCTGACTGTACTAAATTAACTGCAAATGAAGACAAAAAGAAAATACTAAGAAAAAATAAAATGTAAGCAAGAGGAGTAGCCAGCTACATGACTACCAAAAGCGGACACTGCGACGCTCCATCCCAAGCCCCAGGCAGTTGAGAAAGAACTGGAGTGGCGGTGGGTCCACCCCTCTTTATCTTCCCTTATGTCAGAGCACATGGGCAACCAGGACACAGGCACGGACCCACGGACACTGCTGACGAGAATCTCCAATCAAGAGCTCACGGGCACAGGCATATCCAAACACGGAGCACCCATAGGTAGACTACTCAAAGAATAATGGGTGAATATTTCACAATTTGGTTACTTTTTACTGAATTCATGGGGAAAAACTTAGAACTCTCTAGTAGTCTTCCAGTTGTACTCATTTTTTGTTTTCTCATTAATAATTAATCGCGCTGTTAAACAATAATAGAATACCATTTATTTAAATATTTTGGATGTTTTCTACATTTTCAAATATATTGATTTCAATTACAACACAGAATACATAGTGTACAGTGTTTACTTTATATTTATTTTTGATTACAAGTATTTGCACTGTAAAAAAACAAAGAAATAGTATTTTTCAATTCACCTAATACAAGTACTGTAGTGCAATCTCTTTATCATGATGATTGAATTTACAAATGTAGATTTATGTACAAAAAATAACTGCATTCAAAAATAAAACAACGTAAAACTTTAGCACCTACAAGTCCACTCAGTCCTATTCCTTGTTCAGCCAATCGCTCAGACAAAGAAGTTTGTTTACATTTGCAGGACATAATGCTGCCTGCTTCTTGTTTACAATGTCACCTGAAAGTGAGAACAGGCATTCTCATGGCACTGTTGTAGCCAGCGTCGCAAGATATTTACGTGCCAGATGCGCTAAAGATTCATATGTCCCTTCATGCTTCAACCACCATTCCAGGAGACATGCGTCCATCCTGATGACTGGTTCTGCTCAATAACAATCCAAAGCAGTGCAGACTGACACATGTTCATTTTCATTATCTGAGTCAGATGCCACCAGCAGAACGTTGATTTTCTTTTTTGGTGGTTCAGGTTCCGTAATTTCTGCATCGGAGTGTTGCTCTTTTAAGACTTCTGAAAGCATGCTCCACACCTCGTCCCTCTGAGATTTTGGAAGGCACTTCAGATTCTTAAAACTTGGGTCGAGTACAATAGCTATCTTTAGAAATCTCACATTTGTGCTTTCTTTGCATTTTGTCAAATCTGCAGAGAAAGTGTTCTTAAAATGAACAATATGTGCTGGGTCATCATCCGAGACTGCTAGAACATAAAATATGTGCCAGAATGTGGGTAAAACAAAGCAGGGGACATACAATTCTCTCCCCAAGGAGTTCAATCACAAATTTAATTAACACATTATGTTTTTTAACAAATGTCATCAGCATGGAAGATGTCCTCTGGAATGGTGGCCAAAGCACGAAGGGACATATGAATGTTTACCATATCTGGAACGTAAATACCTTGCAATGGCAACTACAAAAGTGCAATGCAAATGCCTGTTCTCACTTTCAGGTGATGTTATAAATAAGAAGAGGGCAGCATTATCTCCTGTAAATGTAAACAAACTTGTTTGTCTTAGCAATTGGCTAAACAAGAAGTAGGACTGAGTGGACTTGCAGGCTCAGAAGTTTTACATTGTTTTGTTTTTAAGTGCAGTTATATAACAAACAAACAAACAAAAAATCTACATTTGCGAGTTGCACTTCCATGACAAAGATTGCACTACAGTACTTGTATGAGATGAACTGAAAAGTACAATTTCTTTTGTTTATTATTTTTACAGTGCCAATATTTGTAATCAAAAATAATATACACTTTGATTTCAATTACAACACAGAATACAATACATATGAAAATGTAGGAAAAGCATCCAAAATATTTAATACATTTCAATTGGTATTCTATTGTTTAACAGTGTGATTAAAACTGTGATTAATCACGATTAATTTTTTTAATCACAATTAATTTTTTTGTGTTAATCGCGTAAGTTAACTGCGATTAATCAACAGCCCTACTCATTAATGAAAAATGCAAGCAGTTACTAGGTCTTCTTTAGTGTATGTCCTTCTTTTAGTATTTTGATTTCCAATTATTTACCTTGATATGAAGAGTCCAAAAATATTTTTAAAGAATAATGTCTTCAAAATTAAAAGACAAAAAGGTACATGGAAAATGTTCATGTTCAGGTTCTGGTCACAGCCACTTGCGACCTTAAATTAAATTGTCACCCTGTTTTACAAGCTTGGTTTTTATTATGCTGAGGCCATAGTTCTATTTCATCATCATCACTGTACTACTAAAAACGCATGACTCTACAGAAAATTTTACAAATTTTGTAAAGTGGTATGTATTATCCGTTACAAAAAAACACGATACACTAGGGACTAAATACTGGGTTAATGCAGTAAACCCACAGCATTCACAGCTTTTCAGATCAACCATTTACTCCACCTGCGCAGTTAAGAACACTGCTGACATTTCAGCCACATAAATCCTGTGTGATGTTACACAAGTCACTTAACTCTGCCTCAATTTCCCCAACTGTAAAATGGGGATAATGCTTCTTACCCACCTTTGTAAAGCACTTTTGAGGACTTGGAATTGGAAAATGCTATATAAATAGCAACAAATGTTACTTAAAGTTGACCTGCAAACCAAGTTTTTACTTTCATAGTTCCTGGAATTTCTAAAAAGAAAAATAATCAATTTCTCTCTCACCTGCATGAACTTACTACTCTTCAGTATCTTAAGTAAAAGATTAAAACAGTAAAACTCCACTGACCTTTTCCTTAACGTTGACTCACAAACCTTGACCACTCTGATAACCTCTTTAACAGTACGTCGGAAATCATGCATTCTTGCTGCCACTAGAAGAGCTAGAGAATGAGCAGAGAAAGTCAGTGACAAAGGTATTTAAGCAAAGCAAAGAAAAAGAAAGAAGAAAACACTGAGCCATACAAATGTACTCTATCTCTGTTCTCAACTTCAGTTAAAGAACAGCAAATGCTAATGTTCAGCTGTATACTTGAATTCAGGTGATTACGTTGAATTGTACAAACTTTGCTTCCCATTCAATAAAATTAAGTTGGCAAAATGTGTTCTGTAAAATTCTATGCTTTAGTTGGGTTTGGCAGCCAAAGTAAGCTACTCAAATACAACACAAGAATATAGAATTGTTCCACACATAAAAGAATGTATTTTTTTTCCAGTAGCAATCTGGTCTTCATCAATAAATTGCTCTCCTAGAACCTTTACCAGAAGCCAAAAATAAGATATAGATTCCATCTAGGTAGTTGTCAGTACCAGTAAAAGATTATTTCCTATTATTACTATTTGTATTTCGGTAGTACCCAAAGGCTCATGGAATCGGGACTCCATGGTATTAAATGATATACCAATGCAGAGGAAGACATGGTCCCAGTCCTAAAAAGTTTACATTCGGATTTGAAACACGACACAAAACTAAGTGTCACAGACAGTAAGAGAGAGGGTGAGGGTACCAAGAAGACTGTGTGGTCACATGGGTTATCTGTGTGTTCTGCATTATTGCAAAAAAAACCTTTTCTTTTACATATGTACACACTTAAAATTTGCAAATAATGCAAAGTGTTCAGATAACCTATGCAATGAAACAAGCTTCTTGATACCCTCACCATATCAGCTATCCCTGACTCAACCTAACCTAAGTTGCTGGGTTTTTTGCAGGTATTACAGCAGGGGTTGGCAACCTTTCAGAAGTGGTGTGCCAAGTCTTCATTTAGTCGCTCTAATTTAAGGTTTCGTGTGCCAGTAATACATTTGAACGTTTTTAGAAAGTCTCTTTCTATAAGTCTATAATATATAATTAAACTTTTCTTGTATGTAAAGTAAATAAGGTTTTTAAAATGTTTAACAAGCTTCATTTAAAATTAAATTAAAATGCAGAGCCCCCCGGACTGGAGGCCAGGACCCGGGCAGTGTGAGTGCCACTGAAAATCAGCTCACATGTCGCCTTTGGCATGCTTGTCATAGGTTGCCTACCCCTGTATTAGAGCATAAATGGGTCTCTTGCAGAGAAGTGTGAAGAAGGAAAAGGTAACATTCTTATGGATTAGTTCAGGGAGGGCACTTCATGCATGAGGGGCAGCATAAAAAAAATGCATGTAGATATTTGTGGAAAAGAGGAGAAAAGGGAGGTCAAAGTTAGTATCACTGGCAAGTTAGAGGGGATGGGGACTATGCAATGGGGAATAAAGGTCATTAAGAAAGCAGGAGCAGGTTAATGAATGGTTTCAAAGGTGAGGACAAAAAGCTTGAATTTGCAGAGTCAGTAGAGGGATTTCAAATGGGAAGAAGGAGTGACATGGGCAGAGCAACAGGCAAGGAAGGTGATCTTAGCAACTGTATTTTGCAGATACACCTTTACCCAGATATAACGCTGTCCTCGGAAGTCAAAAAATCTTACCGTGTTATAGGTGAAACCGCATTATATCGAACTTGCTTTGATCCTCCAGAGCGCGCAGCCCCGCCCTCCCGGAGCGCTGCTTTACCGCGTTATATCCGAATTCATGTTATATCAAGTCGCGTTATATTGGGGTAGAGGTGTATTAGAGTGAGTGATATGGATACCAGAGAGAAGGGTAGAGTAAACAAACTGCAAGAACATTAGGGCCTGGAACAAAAGACTTAGCACCATGGACAGAAATAAAAGGTTGAATTTTGGAAATGCTTTGGATGAAGAAGTTGCTGGATTTGAACATGGCTCTGCACGTTTAGAGTATAAGAGCAAAGGGTATCTAATAACATCTCAGCTAAGAGACAAAAAGTCACCATCTGATGGCTGAACCCAAAACAGAGCCTTTTTATATAGCAAATCAGATTGGCACTTTATGTGTTAAACAATTTACACCAGATTTTAGATACCTGCTCCACAGAGCCCCGATGGTCGGCGTCCTGTGTGCATCCAGTCTCTTTTCATCCTCTGTAATAATCTTAGAGCTGTCATTGATACCTTCTGGTTCTTATCTCCAAATTCTAGCATGTGCGCAAAACGAGGAATATATAAACATGGATCTGCAACACAATAAGATACAATTATTTCTAATCTTGACTTTTAGCTTTTGAAACATGCACCTTGAACAAGTGTACCACAGACATTCCATAGTTGATTTGCTATGTATCTCAGTAACAAAAAACTCTTACAGCAATACTTTTTTTTTTTTTTTTGGGAGACTGGATCATTTGACCTGGTTATTCTTTAGAACCATCTTTTTAATCTCTGTACCAATTAGCAGCTAAAACACTAATCCTTTTTTGCTTTACAGTTAAACATTTTTAAAGTATCACCATGGTGTATTCCATATATACAGTACTTTTAGGCCACAGTTCTGCAATGACTTGTGCATGTGCCTAACTTTATGCATATGATGGACATTAATGGGTGACTCCACACATGCGTTAACTCAAGCATTTGCAAATGTATTTGCAGGATTGGGGGGATAATTTAGATCCAAACTTTTTAACATTCACCGGTATAGCAACATATATACTAACTTATGTGTGTCTGTACCTGACTATAAATTACTCTTTGAAACACAATTAATCTGTTCAAAATAATATATTACTACCAAAAGTGTACACATCTCCAAATTTAACCAGCTGCAGTCCCTTAATCAAAATTCCATATTCACAGATTCATACTCCAACAATACAAAAAGCTGTTTATCAGGCACACTGGAGCAGACCTTCAGCTGGTGTAAAATGTCATTGACTTCAATGGAGCTAAGATAATTTACACCAAATGAGTATCTGCCCCTCTATGTATAAAATAATTTCAAATTTTGGTGTTATCAGCTATAGACTAATAGAACAGCAAAAAGCTGTCTATATGCGTGGTTGCTTTACCTAAACCAACTTCTAGTTTATCAAATAGAATCTTTTAAAAGCTATGCTTTATACTTGTTTACTCTCTTTTTCCGGGGTATCAATTTCTCATTTCCTGGCAGCCTCTTATCACTTGACCCAAAATCTATGGGGTATGGTAAATTGTTAACTATTACACTCAACTCAATTTCCTTAGCGGATTCCCCATTTGGGCACTTTAACTGATAAAGATGGTATTTCTGCTGAAAACATTAATTTAAATAGTCTTACAGATTTGCAATTAATCAAACCAGTTACATTTTACTACTAAGTTCAAACAATGGATATCCTGTTGCCATTTCCAATTACCAGGATTGTACTACACACCAACAGACTCGCAGCCTTTCCATTTAAAAGACTGCATATTTTACTTTAAAGCAAAAACTTCCAGACATAAGTATTTCTCCCAAAGAATTTTGAAATTACAAAATGGAATCAACTAGTAAACATGATTATAAATAAAACAATAGAAATATTAACTCCCTAAAGGCAATTAGTAAGGAAACAGAATCATTCCCACTGTTCTCCAATCATCATCCATATCACATCTAACATCAGGGATGCCTATTTAACTTAATGTATTTTAAGGTGTCTATCACCAAAAAGTAACTGGCCTGTCTGAAAGAATACACCAGGGATACTTCAGTTAAAAAAAACATCACCACTACTATAAAGTTCTTTCAAAACTATGGTCTCATTTTAAAAAAAAAACGCCATATTTAACAAAAAACTGTTTAACTCATAATTCAATAAAACATAATGACCCTTTAAAGTGAAAACTCATTTCTCTAGCTTTTTACATTTTCCAATTTCCATTTTACATTATTCCAAAACACCAAATACGTTACGGTAATGAGCTGACAATTTCAAAATCTTCTCAAGTTCACTTGGCAGGGTTCATACAAAAGGGCTCAACTTCAATGGATGCTGAAGCCACTCAACACCTCAGAAAATCAAGGCCTCAAATGAGAGGAGGAATTTATTATTACTTTAAATTCTTCAAAGCATTTTTTCACTATAATTTCTATGAACTGACAAACGTTTGCATTGTAGCTTTTCAGGAAATTCTGCTGGCATTCATGCCCACAGATCATTTGACAGAAACTAGTTTGTGCTACACATTATTAATTTACATCTTTAAACTAGCAAAACAATCGGAGTCTTGAAAAGTAGTAAATGCAAATGACTTAAACAAAACTAAAAACTGAAAAGCTCTCCACCAACCGGCAGACTGTAAATGGCTGCAATGCAATATTAAGAGTATAAGAATTAAACATAGGTCTAGGATGAATGTAAAACCAACTTCTTAATTGGATGCAAACAAGCCGACACATTTTTAAAAAGTTAAGTTAAAAGTAGAATACTGCGGTTCTTTCACTCATTCTAAATAAATGCGTTGATACTGCAGACTGCTCCAGGCTGGCAGAACTCTGCTCCCATACAGAGCCCTATTGACTTCAGGGAAATTCCATGCATTTGCAGGGGCCATTCTGAGCCGAACAGCTTGCAGGATCAGGGCGAAAGCTAGTAGTTATGTTTATTTATGCTACTACTCAATGTGCACTCAGAAAGAACTTCATACTCTTCAGAAAGTTTCCCGTACCCTTCCTTCCTATCCGACCTTTGTCATGACACCTCTGCTTTCAATAGTACCCATCAAAATAGATAACAGAAATGTCAGGGTGAAAAACAAAGTGGCCACAAAATTTCAAAATCATCATTACGAGCAAGAAAGCAAGAATCGCTGGATCATACAAAAACAGAGAGGGCATAAATGTGTGGTGTGTGAACAGTTACTGTAATACAGTGTGCTTCAGGAGGTTAATAACAGGCCTTGTTCAGAAATGACTGCTCCTCTATCACTCCCCTCCCCAAAAACCCACCGAAAATATGGTAAAACTATAATCCAGCGAAGCGCTAGAAATCAAACTCAGAGGTGATGGCAATAGTGGTGCAAGTTACACACTGGTAAACAGGGACTCCTCAGGAGCAGGAGTGTAATACCCCAGGTGCAAAAGGATGATGGGTGGGGCTGTAGCTGGGGAAACAACCAACAGGTTTGGGGTTTAAGATAAAGCCCAACAGTTGCCTTTCCTGCTACAACCCCACCCTTACACTGTCTGGCTGTGTGCAGGATACTCCAGCTTCCACGCACTCGGAATGTAGCCCAAGTGTCTGCTGCAGTGCTGACTTGCATTCTGAATATCCCTCACTGCTTTTACCACCGGGGCAACTTAATGTTTTGTCTGTGCTCTTGCTGCTCCGAAAAGTTCAAACCCTGGAGGGAGAAAGGGCCGGACAGCAAGCAGCTTTGCGCGAAAGGCGGCTGCAGAAGGACTTGGGGCGCCCTCGCTCGGTCCGGCTGGGAACGACTGGCTGCACAGAAACAGGATCTCAGACCCAGCCCCCGCCCGTCTTCCCAACCATTTCCATAATCATGGCTTCTGACTCCACGGAGCAGCCTGCCGTGCAAACTTTCCCAGCTCGGTGTGGGCGGAAGGACGCCTGGTGAGGGCAGCAGGTACAGTGACTCCGACTTTTTGGGTGGTCTGGGGCAGGCTGGGTCTCTGCAGAGCTCCCCCGCTGCTGGGCAGCGGCTGAGTCCCAAACTGCAGTGCTGCTGTGCCTCTGCGTGGCACTTCTGCCTTGCCTGCTAGGGCTCCCACTCTGCAACATGTCAGACTTGCTCGGCTGCTGCAAGTAATGCCCGGGATCGGGAAGAAAACAAAAGCCTCGCCGGCTCTATGTGCACGGGCTTGGGGGGAGGAGGAGGGAGGCTTTCAGGAAGAAAAGTGGCTCCGATCGCCAGCTCTGCCCCCATCTGTTTACTGCCTTCCTGATTCACCTTGGCTCAGCATCAGAGCCCGAGTCAAGCCAAGCTGAGAGCTGCTCTCGGCAGGGGGAGACGCGCCGGGGAAGACGCTGCAGCTGGGGGCTCTCCCGGGGAAGTTGAACGCAGACTGCGGCTCGCCCGTGGGGCTGGGTTTACTTTTGCAGAGGGCTGGAGGGAAGTTGGCGGGGTAGGTCCCCACTGCACCGGAGGCGGGGGGTTGCTAGTGTAAGGCTCCCCCCGCCTCTGGGGGTGAATTTGGGGCATCGGTACATTTGGCTCCATTGCAGCCTTTCCTGGGCGGTGGATTTTGGCTCCCTGTAATTTTCCCAAGCGGCTGGGAGGGGGGGGGGTGCGGGGGAGGAGGGCGAGCTGGTGGGTAGGAGGGAGCGGAGAAGAATGACATATTGTCTGTGAAGGGAGGGAGCCCGGCCTCCCCGGGGCCCGGGCCCCGGCGCTCCCCATTGGAGCAGGCGGGCGTGACGCGCAGGGCCGCGGCTGGCTATTTGAGGCAGGAGGCGGAGGGAAGCCGACACACACACACACACGGTGGGGGCAGCGCACACGCGTGAGGACACGGGCGCCCGGCCCCGCTGCTGGCTGAAGCCGCCGGGCTGCAGAACCACAACCGCGCAGGCAGGCGGCCCCAAGGGCAGCGCCCGCTGATCGCCGGGGAGACGTGCCGAGCGGCCCTGGCCTTGCAGCTGCGCGGGACGCGGACCCTCACCCCGGCCCCGTGGGCATCTGCTCAGGGCAGGACTGAATCTGGGAAAGTTTTGTTCCGCAGGCAGCGCGGCGGGATTTACAGCAGCCGCCCCCTCCCGTGCGGAGGAGTTACACGGCGTGGACTGGACATCGCGGGCAGGGGTTATTCGGCCCTTGTTTAAATACTAGGCTGGGAACTTGCTGGTCTCTCTGCAGATGTTTAACCCTTGCCCGGAAGAAGGATCCAAGTCGCCTTTCAAAGAGGATCCAGTGGTTGGCAGCAGCTCAGCGCGGGCTGGGCTTTAACTCTTGGAGGCTTTCTGGATTGACTCTGCTGCTCCTCCTTTTGGGGAAACTCTTTGCCTGTATCCCTCCCGGGGTCTTCCTTTGCAATCCTGCCTGTGGTCTTGAGGCTGGGATCTTCAAGCAAAGGTGAGCACTGGCACTCATGCACTACGGCACCATTCTGCTCCCCAGAAAAGGTGCTCGGGGCTTTTGAGCAAAAGCTGCAGTTTAAAATCATAAGTATCCAGGTAGTGGGACTTGACTTTAGAATAGCTGTCCTCTTGCTCATGCCACTGCCCCATGGCTGCCTCAATGGCAGGATCATGAAGTGTTTGACTTTCTTTCTTCTGCTTCCAGAGACCTTAAAGAAGTCCAAAAAGAGCGTGAGGTCAAACGGCAAGGTGCCAGCATGCTATGAGATAGTGCCCCTGTCCCTGAAGAAGAAGATGGCTGCAGAGCTTTACCCTGCCAGCACTAACACCAATATTGCAAACAGTAATAACGCTGCTGCTGCCACTGTCGCTGCTGCTGCCAATAGCAAGAAAAACGCCCTTCAGCTTCAGCAGAGTGCCCAGCCGCCGCCACCACCGCAACTGCAAAACCTGAACAACAACAATTTGGAGAGCTCCAACTGGCAGTCCTTCCACCCCACCCTGCGGGAGAGGTAAGAGCCAGCCCGGCCAGAGTGCACAGAATTTGGGCAGCCCTTGCCCCCCCCGGAGAACTACAGGGCAGGAGCCAGTCCCATAGCCATCCCCCTTCTGTGCCAAAGGCAGGAAACATGGGCTGTTTAGCAATGAGCAGCCCTCCCACCCCAGATTGGGTGGGAGGAGAAAGTACGGCTCCCCAAGCCAAAAAACAGCGAGTTGTGGCAGTCACAGGCCCCCTGCAGCCTAAGGAAGTTCAAGTATTGCATCTGCATATTGGCCATATTCTGCCCTCAACTCACTTGTGCAACCACCGACTCCACAGTGAAAGAAAGTATCCCACTGTGTCCCACTGCACCAGCTGTAGCAAGGGGATGGAGTAGACATGTACTGAAACCAGGACTCGATTTATGTAGCATTAGGTTGCATTGTGGTATCAGGTGATAAACTTGGCAAATCTAATTTGGTTTCTCCTTTCCTGTTACTTTCAGGAACGCATTGATGTTCAATAACGAACTTATGGCTGATGTACATTTTATCGTAGGCCCCTTGGGGGCATCAAAGAAAGTTCCTGCCCATAAGGTTTGTGCAGTTGATTGATTTTTTTTTTCTTCCCTCTTCTGCTAGGGTAGTGGAGTTACACTTGTCTAATTATGATATTTTGTCTGATCTCCAAAGTAAAGAAATAACTTTATATATCTTAATTATAATGGGACAGTTTAAGGGATTTCTGTTTGAATTGAAGCTTTTAAGTTTTCCCCCAGTATCTCTTCTGTCAGCTAGTATGTTTAATTACCAAAGCTACATACTAAAGACATACATGTTTGTTTGTTTTTTAACAGTATGTTTTGGCAGTTGGTAGCTCTGTCTTCTATGCTATGTTTTATGGTGATCTTGCAGAGGTCAGATCTGAAATCCATATACCAGATGTGGAACCTGCAGCCTTTCTAATCTTATTAAAGTAAGTGGTCATTACATTTCCACACATCCTGTGGAGAGATTAAAAGTGGTTTATAAACATCTTTAAAATCTTTTAAATGGCACCTAGGAACATGCAGCTATTATACTTTATTAAATGTGCTGACAAATGTTGAATGATGTCAAATTGCTACTTGTCAGTTATGACAATGGTAGCTTAATCTCTCACGGTTTGTGTCGCTTTTAAAAATACTTGTTTTTTATTCTGTTTAGGTATATGTATAGTGATGAAATTGACCTGGAAGCTGACACAGTGCTTGCTACTCTGTATGCTGCCAAGAAGTATATCGTCCCAGCCTTAGCAAAGGCTTGCGTCAATTTTCTGGAGACTAGTTTAGAGGCTAAAAATGCTTGTGTTCTGCTGTCTCAGAGCAGACTCTTTGAGGAGCCAGAATTGACGCAGCGCTGCTGGGAAGTAATTGATGCTCAAGCAGAAATGGCATTGAAGTCAGAAGGCTTCTGTGAAATTGATCAACAAACACTAGAGATCATTGTAACCAGGGAAGCACTAAACACTAAGGAGGTGGTAGTTTTTGAGGCTGTTCTTAATTGGGCAGAGGCTGAATGCAAAAGACAAGGGCTACCAATTACACCAAGGAACAAGAGGAATGTATTAGGAAAAGCTTTATATTTGGTGCGGATTCCAACTATGACTTTGGAGGAGTTTGCCAATGGAGCTGCTCAATCTGACATCCTTACCCTTGAGGAAACGCATAATATATTCTTATGGTATACAGCTGCAAATAAACCCAAGCTAGAATTTCCACTGACAAAAAGAAAAGGACTTGTACCTCAAAGATGCCATCGATTTCAATCCTCCGCATATCGTAGTAACCAATGGAGGTACAGAGGTCGCTGTGACAGTATCCAATTTGCTGTAGATAAAAGGATATTCATAGCCGGACTAGGCTTGTATGGATCAAGCTGTGGTAAAGCTGAATACAGCGTCAAAATTGAACTTAAGCGTCTAGGAATTGTTCTTGCTCAAAATCTGACAAAGTTTACCTCTGATGGATCCAGTAATACTTTCTCTGTGTGGTTTGAACACCCTGTGCAGGTTGAGCAAGACACATTTTACAACGTAAGTGCCATTCTTGATGGCAATGAACTTAGTTATTTTGGGCAAGAGGGAATGACTGAAGTACAATGTGGAAAAGTAACATTCCAATTCCAGTGCTCCTCAGATAGTACCAATGGAACTGGAGTACAAGGAGGACAAATACCTGAACTCATTTTCTATGCATGATGCATTTCACTTTGATTGTATTCCAGTACTGCTATTCACACTAAAGGATGTTTTGATTACTACAAACCTCTACAGCAGAGTGGAATGTTACACTACTTACCTATCTACTACATCAGGCTATCAAAATAAGTGAAGGAATGCTCTTGAATTTAATCTTATTTTATTTATTCATAAGATATGACTTAATTAAAACTGCAACATGCAGAAAAATGTTAAATTCTGCACGTAATGTGCATTTATTTTGTATATAGATAACTAACTTGCAGACTGCAGCTGACACAAGCAGGATGTTCTAAACTAGAGCAGTTTATGAATCTGTGAAATATAAAACATTTTTACTTGCCCTAAAACCTGTGTACTTGATCATTGCTGATTTTATGGCTAGTGTCCATGTTAATATCTCTGTAGTACAGTTTAGTGGTGGGACTCCTACGAAAATGATAAACAGAACATTCAGACTACTGTGTTTGTCTATAAAAGGCATAACTATCAGCACAAATATAGAGATAGCTTTGCAAGGTAACTAAAGCTCTCCACAAACAGGCAGACTATACAGTTTCTTCCCTCCTCTGAGGTAATGTATAAGGAAGCACCGTTTTCTTAAACTTCCGTGACAAAGCAGAAAGGTTTGAGCGACTGTAAAGCTGATTTAAAAACATATCCTAAGCTTTTATTTGAAACCTTACAAGCTTTCATTCCGATTAAGTTCTCTACAGCTACTGCATTTGCTCTTTGTGGAGTTAAGGAAGCTTTAGATTAAACTGACATCTGTCCCATTTTCAAGTAAGTTGCAACAGATTGGTCTAATGTCTAGGCCCTTGTCTACACACAGTTAAAAACAAATTTGTTAAATTGGTACAGAAACTGTGTGTGGACTAGGATAATTAGAAACCAATGTATGAAGTAAGAACTTTGACTCAGTTTTATATAGATTTGGTAAAAGTTACAGTACTAAGCCACATTTAAATGCAGCTTAAATTTGTAGGGTTTTTATATATCTACAAAAACCCACTGAAGGAGCAAAGAACTGAAATATATCAATAATTAAACTGCCCCAATTCAGGCGCTAGCTTGAGAGAGAGATAGTCTGGTAAAAATAATCTTAAGTAGTACATTTAAAATTCCTGATGATGCGGGAGGAAGCCATCTAAACAGGCTGCACACCCAGAGCGCCCTCTTTGCTTTTTTCATCCAGCTAACGGGTGAAATAATCTCTCAAATGTACTTCCTCACTTATTTACACCTGCTGAGCAAATTCGAGGATACAGACTACAAAAATGACTGAAGTAGCTTTTTCTATCATTAGAGATTAGGCAGTTGAAAATATTTACTGTGTACTATAAGCAGTACCCTTTTCTCATCCTTTTAGCAGTGACCTTGGAAAAAGTACAAAACAGGGATTAGAGATTTTTTTTTTCCTGGTGTAAAAAGTACCAGTAATATTTAGTTTAAAAGCTTGCTTGTTTTCCAGACAAGTATTTACTGGCTGCTGTAAGACAATTCAATTCAAATACAAACTATAATACAACTATAATACAATATTCCTGTTCTGTCTTTAGACACTGCAGTGAAAATTCTGAGGGTGCTGGATTTCCACTGCAAAAATCAGAGGGAGAATATTCTTTTCATCAAGTATTAAGATATGCAGAGTGAACTGGCCCTGTGACTTGGCTGATAGCTGTGTATTGTCACATGATACCTGGACTCCATGATCACTGAACTCAATAATTGGACAGGTGATGTTTAGTTTCTAGGGAGAGCTATGTTCTGAAGGGCTCCTCAATGACTAGCTGTAAGTAGACTGAAGTTGCCTGTTCATTGATGACAAAAAAAATCTCTCAGTCCGTCAATGCAGATTAAAAGCTATTAAGAGTTTGAAGAAATACAGGAGAAATACTAGAATAAAAAGTCGGGTAACAGTCACATGATGCCCTTATGAACCAATCCCTTTAACTGGAGTTAGTAAGGTTTTCTGTGGCTCACAGTCTGCCAGGCTTGATAAAGTACTGAAATGCATACACCGCTGTCTGGAGCGGCTATTGCTAAAAGCAGATTTAATATATGTTAGATTAAAAACTGTTTTCATACAACATAACCTGTGCTTATTTCAACCGCCACTTTTTAAAAAAAATAATAGTTTAAGCAAACTGATTACTAACATTCTCTCAAAATAAAGCTCCTCATTTTCCATAAATCCTCTTGTATTTCAAGTGCTGACATCGGTAGCTTCGGGTGCTGAACACACAGTAAATTTAGCAAATCCTTTACCTAACATTGTGTCTTATTTGGTTGAACTGAAATATGACAGGTCTGTACAAGCTTGTAGATAAGCATCTCTCTCTCTCAAATCAGTCCATACTCTCATTAAGGCTTACACTATTCATATACTAAGAGGTAGAGAATGACATATTTAACTGGAAAAGAAAATAGTGTCAAGCTTACATGCATTCAACAGCAGTCCCACTATTGTGTTCTCTATTTTAAGATGACTTCTGCCTCTCAGTCAAATTTTATCCCTAGACTACTCTGAATTTCATTTTAAAGTGCCCCTTTAATACTGTACTGTGCAAATTTTTTGCCTTCTAAGAGCAATCGTGAAACTATGGTAAAGTATACCCAAGTACTGAAAGCCAACTCTTAAAAAAATACCTATAGCTGGAGCATTTATGCAGAGCTCTCTGGCCAGCAGAAGGAAAGTTTTTCCCAGCACATAGACATTCACCTATTAAAGACAGAAAACATTATTTGAATCTTAAACAGCAAACATTAAAAAAGTACTCCATTATACAGAGATGAAAATCCACCTCTGAAACATCAAGCAAATTGCTTTTGTTAAAAAAAAAAAAAAAAAACTCACCCAGATATTTTAAAGTGAAAGTAATCATTTGATGCAATCGGATTTATAAATCATGGAGATAAGTGAAATTCTCATTAAAAGATATATGGAAAGTTAAAGCTGTGACACAAGCCAAAACAGAAAACATTAAAAACACTGCACTACTTTGCAACAGGTTGCCTGTTATGCTTTTCAGCTGGCCCCATTTTGTCCTGGAGTACTTGGACAATTCCCAGTTTGTAGCTCAAAACCTTGAAGTTTTATGTATTCGTACATTATTGTTACATTAAACTATAACTGCAGTGGCACTCTCTTCACATAACAAAACCTGCAAGTTAGTACAATTTTAGCTTTGTTTAATCATGTAAAGTCGTATAATTAGAATTACAAGCACAAACAAAACTACTTTTCCACCCAGGGAGGGAGTGGCACGCAGTGCTCCAAGGATTTTTGCCTTCCCTCATTTTTCAGTTACTATCCTCAGTTCAACATATTGTTTTTTTAACCTATAAAGCTCTCAGTGATTAGGAGACCTGGTTACCAGAAAGACTGCCTCTCTCACAGTGATTAAACTGCCACAGTTGAGCTCAACAAAGGTGCACGAGCTGAGGCTCCCTTAATATAAATGAGGGGGAACTGCTAGCGTGGCATTTTATGTGAGGGGTTCTCAGTTTTGGAACAGACATCCCAGCCCGAGTCCACCAGACCTCAAATTTGTTGACTTTCCATGCACATTGTAAAGCTCATCTTTTTTCCCTTCTTCTCTAAGCCACTGAGGAGACTGTAGGCTCAGGAGATATTTCTGGGCAGCCCTTTGTTTATATTCCTATAATGATTTTTAATTTATGGACTAGGCACTTAGTCGTATTCCAAAAGTTTGAAGAAATGAAATAAAATAATGTATTAAGTCGTGCCTTTCTGGCCTTAGGAGAGGGCTGGATGTTGCTATGCTTCAGTTCCAAATTGACTGTGGGTGTTCCTACATGAGCACGCTGCGGCCCCAAGGCATAAATACAGGTCAAAGTTAAGAGATTCAAACTCAGACCTCTGACACGATACTGAAAAAACAGTCTATTTTTTAAATTTAAGTAGTCTATGTTTTAGTGGTTTTATGCAACAGAAGTGTCTCTCCTCCATGCAAAGTGAAGCTGGTTAGTAGAGAGCGAAGTATATACCTGGGCTATTGAAACACATCGAACAAGCTTACGGAAAGCATGAGGAGGATGCAGGCCTCCTGTTAATAAATATACTCATTCTGCATCAAAAGCTATTTAAAAAAAAAAAAAAGTCATCCAATTTGAAGTGAACTTTCTTCATCAAAGTATTTTCACGTAGTCTTCTCCCTTGTTCAGGATGAGGAAGTGAGAGGAGATTTTTCTGTACTTTAATTTTGATTTTTTTTTTTTAATTTAAAACTATTACAAGAATCTCCAAGGCTGTCAGTCATCTTCAAAGAGATCATTCAATCTATCACTCAAATGTAGATGGGTACTATTTCACTTAGTATATTTAGTGGAATGTGTTGAATCTCTCTCTTACACAACCTCCATATATGACCAACAGTGAGACAGGACTAGCAGGTAGATAACTGTAGTGTTATCTGTAGGGCTATAGAGAAAGGATGGTACAACTTAACCCCAGAGAGGAAGTGACCAAAATTGAAATGTGTCCCCTGAATCAAGATTAGGCTTGATGGGTATCAAGGTACAAAAATATATATATAGATACCCAATATCTAGCATTTCCTGCAGAATTTGACACGGCATGGTTTATTTCTTTTTTGTGAGCTATGAAGATAGAACAATTTTTACTAAAGCAAAACTATACAATGTTTCCAAGGGGGTCTCGCTTCCATTGATTTCGGTTCTCTCAATGCACTGCAGTTTGTTTTGACAAACTACTAAGAAGATTTAAGAGTTTTTTTCCACATTGTAGTTTGAGCCTCTTAGTTGGCCGACCTGGGACTATAAATCTTAAACCTCATCATTTAGAAATCTGACCCGCAAGAAGGATTTATTATACAAGTCAATAAAGTTACTCCATTAGAGCCAACCACATATCATTTTTCCATCCCAGGCCTCACTGACTCACCCAGTTCTTTCATTTAGTCTAGAAAAATACAAACCAACAGATGAAAATATTCTTCTCCCATGTTTTTTCTTCTTTTTGGCAGAAGGCTCAAATACCTCCTTGTCCCCATCTGACCATATAATTGCAGACAATACAATTAACACTCCTCCCCAGCTAATTTTCCATAAAAACATCAATTACAGAGTAAATAAGTACCAATAGGCATAAAGACACAGTTTCCCATGATGAAGTCCTAATAGTCAAGGGTTGCAGGGTGGGGGGTCACATTAAGTTTTCAGCAGAGCCAAAAGCAACAAAGAGTCCTGTGGCACCTTATAGACTAACAGATGTATTGGAGCATAAGCAGAGCCAAGTGCATAGTCAAATTGCCGTATCACTGATTCTATCATCCATTCCTGGGTCTAGCTAAAGTCTCCAGATCTAGGACCTACCTGAAACAAATCTAAATCTAACCTGCTTCTTACTTCACCCACATCACGTACAGTATAATGGCTGATCTCAAGGTGCAGAAAGCTTGTCCACACAAAACACTTACTAAACTCAAAGTAGAAATTGTACTTCAGGGAATTTCTGCTCTAAGATCCTAAGTGCAATCGCTTGCAGTGTTTGGTTACCATTGATTCAGAGAGGAAGTCAGAAAGCACGTATGCTATCCAGTGGATTGTGTGTGATATTCGTTTTTTTTCACAGCGCTCATACATTTTTAATGCTAGTGTAAAAGTCACAGAAAGAATGAGCAATAAAAAAATTGCTCTCTCTCTCTTGGCAAGCCAGTACAGATACTTTCGGAATGATCAAATATTCACAGGTACGGGGGCATTTGTTCCTTTATATATATTGGAAATTAAAGAGCCCACAAGGCTAACCCAGCAATCAATAAAAGATATGTCATTTAAGGACCTCTGGTAGTGATAATTTAAGAGGGCTCTTCCACATTTTTTAATCTCTATTATTAATCCAAGGTGGTGATATTACAGCTGAAATAATTTTTAAAATCTAGTTTCACATTCACCATTTTCATTTATTTATAATTTTTAGATTTCACTCAACTTAGAAAATTAAAACAATTCATTTACAAGTGTGTTTCACTTTCTGGTTCTCCTGCACTAGTAAAAAATTTTGTAAGGGTCTACAACCTTACCGGGAAATGTTTAAATCCCTTTTCTCCAATCCCCACTCTAGGTAAATTCCCCAAGTTTAGAAACTATGATAGCATTTGTATGTCTAAACCCCTTATTTTACAAGCATCTTAATTATGGTAATAGAAAAAGATTATCCATTAAAAAAAGATGCATCTAGTGTGGGTTTCAATGGTCTTGTTGTACTGCTCCCATTTGTCAGACAGCTTTAAGGCTGAACACTCCAAATCTAACTGATATGGTCCCACTCCCTCTTTCAAAATCCAGGTATCGAACTGGAAAAAAATAAATGGTATTCTCCTAAATTCTGCCCACTCAAAGACCCCAAACAAGATGCCATTCACAGTAGATTGTGCAGAGCTTCACAAAATGATTGTTCATGTTTGTATGCTTTGATCAGCCATAAAATAGCTGTTTAAATTATCATTAGGCTTCAGAGTCACTGTCCCAGTCAGATGAGCAGCAGCACCTAATCCCTCTCTCAGAGATGTTGTTTCAGGGCATCTGCAGACTTAAGACATCACTGCAACAGTTCACATTCAGTTCACATTTACAAGGTTCTCTTTACAACCATACAGACCAGACTCTACATTTTTAAAAAGTGAAATCAGATTCTACAGTACAAAAAAAGGCATCTTTCAGATAAAAACTCTCTGCTTGCCAAGCCTCTATGAACTAATCCTTTTGATCCTTGTTTTCTTAACAAGGATCATATCTTATCAAGATGTTCTTCCTTATCAAATTATTCCTTGCAATGTGGTATTTGCATATGCCCACTCTGCTGTAGCTAGATGGCCTCCAAAGATTTAGTTTCACCTTTGTAAGGAATCCTCCTACCTGTGGAAGGTCTAGCTAAATATACTCTACATTTCAGATTCTATACTTCTCCAAAGGTGTGGACTTAATCAGTTCTCATTCTTCAGACCTCAGATGTTTTAAGGTGACCTCTCCATAGGAGAAAGGAAACCTTCTCACCCTTCAATTTTCTTTTCATTATTTTCTTTTTCACATCATGTCTGAATGTCCACGTTCATAACAGTCCACATATACTTCAGCTTTTGTGGACAAGAACAGTGGTCTACTTACCACTGACAAGTGAGTTGAACAGGTCATCAATCTAAAGCATGCTACAGTTTGAAAAATCTCCACAGATATTTGTAATCTGAAATTCACAAGGTTGTTAGATTCACTCCACCCCCTTGAAGATGATAACAGCTGACCAGAATGCCTAAGACAAAAGGTGCCTAATCTTTGATCCAATAAATTAGATAAATGTATTTAACAATGGTTAATTTCCAGAGAGGCTCGTCAAGATCAACATAAGACAATCCAGTGAAATATTGAGTATACTGACAGTGGCCTAGGTTACCTTCTTTTCAGAAGGACCAAGAACTGGACGGTCAGAATTCAAAGCATCTATGGATGCTTGCCTAAATAACAAAGGAAGCATGAAAAGCAAATGACTATTTAAGGACAATGTCTATTGTTTGGGGAAGATGTACCTGAAGTTATTTGGTTCATTACTATTAACATTTATTGTACAGTGGGGCCTAAAAACCACATCCAGGATGTCTAAATTAAATAGATCAATACACAAATAGGTACTGAGGTAATGGAAGCAAATTCAGTCAACCTGGACATGTCATGAAATGAGTA